TGGTATGAGGACACTGTGATGTGCAGGGAGTGGTGGCCATCGACCGCATGTCCCTGGTGGATGAAGCCGCGGGGGAAATAGAGCAGGTCGCCCTCCTCCAGGGTCACGTCAAGAATGGGCTCGCCGATCTCATTTTCATCCAGGTTGCCGCTGGATTCTACGGGGAGCACCTCCTCCTCAATTCTGGAATGGGGGAATCCTATGATGCAACATCTCTCTCCCTTCTTTTTTCGACAGGAATCTTGCAAAGCTTTGTTGGTTTCTTGACACTTATTCCTTATTCTCATTATCTTTTTTTTCTTTCTTTCTCTCGTGTTGAAATCTCTACTATCTTCTTACCAATTTTATATCTCTCCTCCTACCTGAGGATACCCAAGCATATCTGATCAAAATACTGAAACCTATACTTATTTTTAGCTAGTAAATAGCATTAAACAGCAACAGGAGTAGTTATTAGAACAAATAAACAAATAAAGGAAAATCATACCATTCTACTGAGGATTTTGCTAAACATAACGCATAATCCTAAAGCAAAATATATCTCATTAATCACCTAGGCTTGTAAACACGCCATCTCTTCTTCCCTTCCAGCTGGAGGATAAAGGCTTCAATATCATCCCAGTGAGGTGCAAAGCCCTGGGTATCAGGTGGAGTTAAATATCTGAAATTAAAAAAAAGAAAATTTCCAAATCACACGAGAACAATTCCTCTATTAAGGAGTATGACAAAAAACATCTATTCCTTGTTTTGACTGAAGGCCATGAAGCAAAATATATTGTGCAATAACTAATCTCCTGAATTACAATTTAAACAATAATTATAAATAAATTTCCGTTTATACATGCTATTGCTTTTATCCATACTTGACTGTACTTCACTGCTGTAATGGAAGTACATTGGAATACTCAAAATGAAATACTTTTTATGTGGTGTTTGGAGGACATGGAGGAAGAGGATAAATGATAAAAAAAAATAATAAAAGAAGAGCGAAGGAAAGAAGGAAAAATCAAAGAAGGAACAGGGGTAAAACAAAGAAACACTATGAAGACAGACAGGTAATAAAAAATCAAGATAAGAAACTACACACACAGAGAAAACATCATTCTAAACACACACAATCACACTAAACTCTCACACTCCTTATCACTCAAATTCTAGCACCCTATGACCCCCAAGGCACCCAAACGCAAAGAGGAAAGGCCCCACACTTACACGTTGGCACCACAGAATGAGTTGAAGTACTCCTGGAGGGTCGCGAGCAGCTTCCAAACACGAGCGTGGAAGGTCTGTGGATTGAGCATGCGCACGCTGCAGCCGTTGTTGTAGTAGTCCCAGACCACAGGTGCGTGAGCTTGGCCTATAGGGTTGTGCGTCTCCCGCTTGCCATTGCTGTACGACGTGATGTCCAGGTTCTTGGTGTACTGCACAACGTTCTGTTTTGCAAGATGGGGTTACAGGTTATTACAACAGACAAAAGTAAATCAAGAATATGAATAATTCTGAAGAAAAGTCATTCCTATTAAGATCTTCAACATATTCTTTATAACAGTTAAGAGGAATTCATTATATTTTACAGTAATGATAGTAAAGGGAGGAACTCGCTCTAGCACATGATGACGTGCTAGTGTGAGTCGAGCAGGAAGTTCCGCTACATATCAAGGACTCCGCGGCAGGATGGTTCCCAGAAGTCACCAGAGTCAGTGATGCCAAGAGAGCTCTAATACCATCACTGAGGGGTTAAAACCGCCCACTTGGAAGCAGGTTTATCTACCTATTTACCTGACTGTTTTAACCCCTTGGTGCCGGGTGACGCCGATTGGCGTGTACACAAAGAGCTCGAAAGCTGGCGTGCCGCCGAACAAGCCGGCGGCGCGCCAAATCGCGGCGAGCCAGTGATTCGGGCTGATGTCCCCTACTCACGTGCTCAAAGTCGGCGCGCCGCTTTTGTTTGTTTAAGTGTAGAGTTTTTTTTTCTTTTGTACACCCGGCGCCATTGGGTTAATAAAATATTAAACTATAAAATGAAATTCAAATAACCATAATTACCACCTAACAGCTTCCTAACTTATCACTATGACTTCTGTAACAATTACACAAAACACTATCTTAAAAGAAAAGAAAAAAAGAAAAAAAAAATCACAAAAATCAGATGATGTTAATTCAACTTACATTATGGAGGATCCTGTCCAAATCAGCCGTAGTAAAGAGACCCTCATAGTAGCCACTTTTACGTTTAATGTGCAGGGGGCCTTGTTCCCAGTACTTGCTGCAACAGAAAATCATCACAAAATGTAGTAATTCCACAAAAAGTCACACATCTTAAAATCATACTATAATATAATAAATATACTAAATGACATAATATAATAATCATGCTATAATGTTTGTATAAAGGAATCTTTTACTAAATGAATTATCATTATTTTTTAAATCAACAACATTCTATGCTTCACTGTCACTATAAGCACCAACAATACTGGAGAAAAAATTTAAAAACAGGCTGTTTTGGTTAAGCCCAAAACAGCTAGTATGGTTAAGCCCACTTCACTCCGAGGCACTACAGGTCCACACTACACCACCCAAAACACCTCCCTGTCCTATCTTAATATGAAAATCCTTGCAGCAGCCATATAATAAAGACAGATCACATGGAGCAGAATAAAGGGATATATCAACACCAAAAACTAATAGAATACTCTTATTTTTTTTACCTTAAAAAAGAAAATATTAGCATCAAATGCTTAAAGAATAATATTTTTTCTCTTACCTAAAGAAGTCTTCCTCTGAGTACGGATGAATCATCCACTGGAAGGACTGCTGTCCCTCCTCTCGGCTGTCCCCTGTGTTCCTAGCTTCAATGTCCTCACCAGACACTGGCAAGAAACATTATTATTGTTAGATGAATATAATTAAAGTGCTCCATGTCCTCTAACAGTTTTCAAATAAATCAAACAGAATCTTTTCTAAAGTAATTCATCAATGATCTTTTCAAAACTGAAATATAACCCCACTCCTAAAATATTATACATGTTAAAGAATACTTGTCATAAAAAAAAATAAACAAATAAATAAAGTAAATAACAACTACAATGATAACATTGTAAAATTTCTAAATCTTAAGGATATAAGGCCTGACAAAAAAACACCCACCCACCCACTACATATCTAAACGTACGTGTTTCAACATCCATTTCGTTCTCATCCAACTCTTCTGCTACCTCCTCGGTGGCCTTCTCCCCGTTCGTGGCTCCATTCTGTTGCTTGGCACCCTTCTTCTTCTTTCCCTGGGCTTTCTTTGCTTTGTTCACTTTCTTATTCTCAATCGCCTTCTTCTCTTCAGCCTTATTCTCGCTTATCGGCTCGCTGTCTGTCTTCGGCTTGTTCTGCTGCTTCTTGGGGGTCTTCTCGTTAACGTTCTCCTTGCCGACCTGCTTTCCTTTGTTGCTCTTTGGCTTCTTCTTGTACGAAACCTTTTGGCCCAACGAAACGGCCTCCCTGGACACCACCTTCCACCGAGGCATAGTCCTGTTTCCCTTCTGCTTGCCTTTTGTGCCATTTGCCTTGCCGTTACTGGCCGCTGTCGAGCCCAGGGGGCCGCCCTTCTTCTTTGTGTTCTTCTTGATCTTACCTCCATCTTTGACCTTCAAGTGGGGGAGAAAATAATGTCAGATTCAAAATTAAATTCTAATAATTGGGTATTAAACAAGCGCTGAACTGAAACAATATAGACAGAGAGTAGTATCATTCTGTACTGAAGTCTTTATGATTCATTGTTCCCTATCCACTGAAAAATGTATATCATAATATATGCATCAAAAACTCACAATAAAATCGAAGACAAAAGCAATATTCAATACTTTATTCAAAATTCTAAACCAAAAGATAATAGTTTTTGCTAAATACTTCTCAACAAGTGGTCAGACATGATCATTCTCTCTGATCTGTACTTTCCATAGACATATTTCATATTCATTGAATATACTGTATATAATGAATTCCTTATTGGTGAACTGAAAATTCATTCTAAATCTTACCGTTGGTCCTCGGTACATTGCTACAGCTGTTACAGGAACTTTAGGAGCTTTCATGATGGTGGTTGGCCTTATATCTTGTTCCTGTGAAGATAACACATCCATAAACATCTACATATTATATGCATTTTCAAAACCTAGCATGGGCAAGGGCAATCAACAAGGTAAATAAATACCAGTAAATCTTTGACCTCATGACACTGAAAATTTTATTCTTCTGCAGCTTAGAAAATTGAATAAGTTTTGCCTGTGTCTTCTTAAGACCAAAATAAGAAATACCTGAACTGTGCCTCATTTGGATCTCTTTTACATAGACTAGGTATTAGAGAAAAGATAATGATATAATATTCAAATCTCATGGAATGTACTTCCATGATATCTATTTTATTAGCCGGAGAACTGCATAATTAAGAAATATGTCCACCCAGACAGAGAGACAAGATGCATAAATGTATTTTCTTTCTATCTATGAAAAAAAGGAAAAAAAATGAGAAGTATATAATTCTTTTATGATCACCTCAGGATAGAGTTCCTTCTTAGCTGATAAACCTGCTGTTAGTTCTGTCTATGTCAATCCCACATACAAAAATCCCTTCCCAAAACCAGTACAAGCATAAAGCAAGGATCAGTTTGGAAATGCCTTGAATGATTTTCTGCTTCAAAAAGCCATTGAACTGTGCATTCACTATTTTCTGTTCTAGTCATTAAGGATGTAATATTCATTAATCTATTATTTTCCTATACAAATGACCAGATCGGCAAACAAATAAAAGTAGTGGTAATCATTTACATAGTGACCACATCCCTCTCAGACTGAGCCCCTTTCACTCCAGTCAGGTTTTACTAATTACTGCCTGGTACCACCCGACATTGCCAGGTGCTAATAAATCTATTGACCAGCAGCTATAAATGCATTAATTGCCTTTTTTTTCTTATGAATTTCATGTTTTTGAGATAAAGTATTTTTAT